GGCTAATGTAATATCCCAGCTTTTCCCCAGGCTAGGCCAATGTCTACCAGATAATTATTCATTGTAAACATGTCTGTGAGCCTGACTTTATCTATCATGTTTGTTTTAAAATCAATCTGTTCATTCAAAATGAAAGTGTTTCATTCCTTTTTTACTTTTCCTTCCAGTCTAAAATGTTGTCCATATTGTCAGCCATTCTGGAGCTGTTTAAATTAGTGCAGGTTTTTTATGGAGTGTCAAATACACTCTGGGGATAGGCTGGCCTCACAGTTACCCAATGTGCTCAGCCAGGTCCTGGAAATTTGTGAGACGGGGAAACACCATTGTTAATAAAAGGTTTTTGTTATTAAGAGCTTATCTGAGATCCCTCCTCTTGCCTCTGATTTCCCTTCTGTGAGCTGGTTGGGGGTTTTCTCTCCTCCTTTGGGAAGGCAAGAGTTTTATTCCAGGATGCGAGCTTTTCAGAGAGTTAGAGACATTTACTCAAAGCTCCAGCTGGAATGACCTTTACAGAGCAGACAGGCCATAGTCAGCCGATATTTCAAAAATGGCAGAAACCTGCTGATTCTTGCCTGTCTCCGAAGAAAAATTCAAAAAGCACAGAGTGTCCCCCAGGCCATTTGGCAAGTGTTTGGTCACCCCTGGAGCTCTTATTACACACAGGCATACTGTGCACACCTACCCCAGGAATAAGGCTGAAGTATCAGATTGTCTCAAATGCACCTTGTCCTCCACTTAGATCCAGGGCCTTCACTGCAGGTGCAAGGCAGAAGGGCAGGAAGTGTGCCCCTAACTTGCCTGGCGGGAACTGGATATGATTCAAGTTAAACCATAAACCTCTACATGTTTGTGCAATGGCGTGGTCCGAGGCTCAGGATGACGGGCACATGGCAACCATCCCATACCTCTATTTCTTCCAGGGTTGAGTAGGCTCATACCACCAAGGCCTAAGAGAATCAGAGGGCCAATGGCGACCTGGGCATGGCTGCAAGTTCACCCCATTTCCTCCGAGCAGTGCTGAGGTGCACCCAAAGCATCTCCCAGAGTGAACTGTCCATTCCGCCCCTTCCTTTTGGGTTTGCATCTCTTTGAGCAGAAAGGTTGCCACCCCCAGCCACTCTCTTTTGGACCGTGGTGATGCAGCTGGTGCCACACCACTTCACCAACCTGATTTCAGGGCCCCGCACATGTGTGTCTCTCTTCAACCCCAGGACTTTCTCCTAAGCCTCAGATAGTAGCTTTGTCCAGGCACACACAGCCCTGGAATGGGGAGCCTCAACCAACGGGAGCTGGAAGTCAGTGGGAACTGCCCAGCTTTCTGCCCCTGGGAGAGAGGACTATGAGGCATATTCCTTCCAGTTCCTCAGAAGACCCCCAGCAGAGCTGAGCCCGGTTGCTCACTGCAGTAACCAACCCAATAACATAGTCCATGTTGACTTTCTTCCCTTTTGGTCTTCTCCTATCTGTTTCCCAATTACTTTCCTGCAATTACTTTCCATGGAAGCTACCTGCATTCACACGTGTGTTTATTTTGAAGGCTTCGCTTTCAAAATGACTCAAATTAAAACAGACACCACCCCAGTGTCCTTGAGGTTGGGCCTATGTACATGTGAACAAAATGACCAGTTGGCCAGGTTGCTTCTGCTAATTCTCCACCCCTCAATGAAGTGGAAGAGAAGGTCAGTCAGTGGTTATTTGACTACACAGTAGGCCCAGTTATCTGAATGAATGGTGGTCTTGTCTTTATTTTTAATGCAATGGGAGGATGAATGTTGCTTCCTCTGAGTAGTTTTTCTCCCTGCATGTGTCCCATTGGATTTGAGACGTGCTTCGGGAATCTCTTACTCAGGACCTCCCCTTTCACTCAGCTTCCACCATGTCTCCCTGTAAGGCTCCAGCTATCCCAGTCAGTGGCCAGAACTCTCTGAGAACAGTAAAGGGTGTCTAGCACCTCTCCGACACCAGCCTCTCTTCCTCGAGCACTGCCCCAAAGGGCAGCTTCCCTCCTGCAGCTGCTGGTTCTTCTGCTGGAAACAGAAGGCTATCACACCACTGTGCTCCTCTGGCCAGTGGAAGACACAGTCATCCCATTAGAAAGCACAGAAGTGGTAGAGCCGTGCCAAGGTGAGCCTTAAATTCAATCAAGTGCCCCAGAAGTAGGTAACACCAGCCATGAGTGGAAGTCAGCAAATACGGTCTTCCCCAAAGATAACACCATAATGATAGGATTAAAATGGATGTTGCCTGGGGGAGAATTCATTTAAATGTTTTTCTGGCTTTATTGAGGCATTATTTACATATAATAAAACTCAGGCATTTAAAATACACACATGGTACAGTTAACACACACTGTAGTGCCTGGTGTGGTGAGATTTGGTTATTTTATAGAGCAGCCATCACCACAACCAAGATCTGGAACATTTTTATCACCCTAGAAATTTCCTTGAGTCCCTTTGTAGCCGATCCCCTCTCCTGGCCCCAGCCCCTGGCAACTGTTAAGGACCTTTATGCCGCTATAGCTTTGCCTTTTCTAGACTTTCATGTAAATGGAATGAAGCGATATGTAATGCTGTGTGTTTGACTCCTTCACTGAGCAGAGTGGTTTTACGCTCCATTCATCTGTGGCTTGTGTCAAAGCTGTGTTCCTTTCTACTGCTCAGTAGTTTCACTGTATAGATATCCCAGACTTTATTTATTTAGCAGCTGATGGGCACCTGAGTTCTTTCCAGTTCTTGCTTATTTGAATAATGCTGCCATGAACATTGGCATTTGAGTCTTTGCATAAACTTAGCAGTCATTTCTCTTGGGTAAATATCTGGATGTGGATTTCTGGGTCATGGTTAACTACCTATGGCCACACAGTTTTCCAAAGTGGTTGCGCCAGTTTCCCAGTAGTATAGAAGAGTTCCTATGGTTCCTCCTCCTCATTAACACGTGATATACTCAAATTTTTTTTAACTTTAACCATTCTAGTAGGAGTTTAGTGCTATCTCAATGTGGTTTAATGTTGGGTACCTTTTCAGGCAATTACTCTTCAGCTGACATTGTTGTTAAGCGATATCCTGAAATATTTTTTTTTTTTTTTTGAGACAGGGTCTTGCTCTGTCACCCAGGATGGAGTACTGTGGCATGATCCTGGCTCCCTGCAGCCTTGACTTGAGACCAACCAATCTGCTCACCTCAGCCTCCCTAGCAGCTGGGTTTAGAGGCATGCACCACCACACCTGGCTAATTTGTGTATTTTTTTTTTTGTAGAGATGAGGTCTTTTCATGTTGCCCAGACTGGTCTTGAACTCCTTGGCTCAAGCCATCCGCTGGCCTCAGCCTCCCAAAGTGCTGAGATTACAGGCATGAGCCACCGTGCCCAGCCCTGAAATATTCTTTAGGGATGCACCAATCCTAAGGCCGATGTTATTCCCCTCAGTTTGCAGGTAAGATCTGAGGCACAGAGTGGCTGCACAATTGCCTTGCATTCCTTTTGGCAGAACTGGGGCTGAAGCTTCCTAGACCAGTGTTCTCCACTGGGCCACATGTTCTCCACTGCTGGGAACAACTGTTCTTAAAGGGCCTTGCAGACATATTAGTAACCTCAAATGGTGACAGACTGGCTGTACATTTTGACATTAATATGTTGTCATAGTTTGACATAAATAGAACTATTCAATATTACTACTTTTTTTTTTCTTTTAAACTGTGGACCCTCTAACCATTTCTACCAGACTTAATAAACGGCACTGCCACGTGCTTAATTAGTAAGTGTTGAGAGTTACTTTGCTGTGACGTATTCCCCTCCGCTATCTTGGCCCATGTAGCATTTATAGAAAGGAAGCTTCCCATTTGTCCTCCCTTGTCCTGGGAGCACGTGGAAAAGGTCCAGGTCACTCAATCCTCCCTCCCCTCTTGGTTCATGGCCAAAATGCTTTCTGCCCTGATAGAGTTGATCCTTTAACTAGAAACTGTAAGCCCGCTGGGAGTAAATGCCTAACATTGCAAGCAGAGATGCTGAAAAGGGAGCCTTCATGACACACATATCCTGCAGGACGTAGGGATGAGTGAATGGGAGAGAACGGAGTGGGGTGAGGAGTGAGTTCTACCTGCAGGAATGAAATCAAAGACCTGAAGCTACTGGGCTTCCCAGCCAGCCACTAGGAAACACACTGGAGCCAGAGGTAGGTAAATGTTTCTAATCTCCTAGAAAAGTCAATTAGGAAGAAATTTCCATCTTTTTTGACTCTCTGTTATCTCCCGCACTTGTCACTCCTACCACCTTGTCTATTACCCTGGTTTTTTTTTTTTTCAAATTCTCTAAAATAAAAAAGTCTTTATAGACTTGTTTTTAGGAGAAGTATAGGAGAGGAGCCGTGGGATACAGCTAATCTTAGGGGAAGAGCAGATGGTTTTAAAAAGGCAAAAAGGAAACTAACCTTCTAAGACTTGAAAATGGCGATTTACACCACGGTGATTAGGAGAGCAGCCTGCTGCCCTAGTCATGTTTGTGCTCATGTGAGTGTGTGTGTGCCTGTCCATGTGAGTGCATGAATGTGTGCATGTGCATGGTGTACATGTGGATGTGTGTATGTGCCCATGTGGGTATGAGTGCATGCATGTGTGTGCATGTGTGTGCACATGGGTCCACAGCTGTGTGTTTGTGCATGTGTGTGGTGTGTGCATGTGTATTAATGAGTGTGGGGAGAAGGGGTCAAGTGTGAACACTCCAGAAAACATATCACTTTGGTTCTCAGTGGTCATTTGCTCTTTGGGGTGAATTAACTACATCCATACATGGAAAGCAGTATTTAATGAGGATGGAGGAGGAAAGTTCATAAGCACTGAGTCTTGAGGAGGAAACCAGATGGCCGGAAAGGGCTTCAGAAGACTCTCCTCTCGGTTTTGGTTTTCAGGTCTTTGTGGTTATATTCTGTGCTTTGTTTTACTTTAAAACTGCCTGAAATATCACGACTCTCTCAGAAATCCACTAGTCACTGCCCAGAGTCAAAGAATCTTTGCTCCGTTATTTTATTTTAAAATGTTTTGTTGCTTTTGTTCCCTATCTGCAGGGTTAGATTAGCTCTGGAGTTCCCTGTGCTATGGCCTGCTAGGCGGCAGTCTCCACCCAGTACAACTTGAGAATCCACCAGGGAGCTTTCGCAGAGCCACCCCACGGGTCGGGACCTGATGACTGGTCTGGGGTGCATCCTGGGCATGGCTGGGCATGGAACTTTGAAAATCTGCCCAGGGGATTCTCAGAGATAGCCATGGCCGTGGTTGAGGGGACCACTGAGTAAGAGAAAGAATGAAAGCAAATGAAGACGTTGATTCCTGAAACCTGGGGAATGGCTGCAGCGATGGCTAAAGAGACTACTAAGTCTCTTTACTCCTTTGTGGTGCAGGTATTTGGTGGCCCTATGGTCCCAAGACTATGGGATTATCTTCTTCCCACTGTGCCTTTGAATGGGCACACACTGTCATTCATATTTACACCTCTGTGGATGAGTGAAGCATTAATACAGACATTCAGTGAACTGAACTGAACAGTTAAACACAAAGTCGGATGAATGATGAGATGTGAAAAGAAGCAATCCCTTCAGATTCTTTTATCCTGCTTGCTTTAAATGTTCAAACACCCAAACAGGCTGATAAATTAAGATGTTATGGAAAGCTGTGCGTAGCTTTCAGCCACAGCCATAGTCTGAGGTTTTAATTCTCTGGTGCCAATAATAAAAATCATTTCAAATGCAAATAAAAAGTTAGTGTAGAAAATGACCAGTTTAGAAAAACTGTGCTGTAGTTACCAGCTCTCATACAAACAGTGCCTGAGAAAGTCAGATCACAGACTATAAACAGGCTATATTTAGATGACTTCCAATCCCAATGTGTTCCCAGACCTGGTCAGAGCTAGGCAGCTTCCCACTCGGTCATTTTTGTCCAACAGGCTCTTGTCCCCTTGTAATCTGTGGACCCTCCCTTTTCCCAGGCTCCCAGGGAGACCGTCGTGTGGTTCCCCATCCTGCAGAGCCCCACCCAAACAGGATGGCCGCCAGCCCCTGGGCAGTGCTGGGCCTCCAGCTGTGAGTTCAGCTGAGCTGTGTGATCCAGATGAGCTGCAGATTGTCCACAAGCTGCCACCCAGATGCTGGGTCACGTGGGCTCCCCGGTGCTTTATTGAGACTGGTCAGCCCTCCACGACTCCTAAGAAAGAAGATCCTTGCCAGGTCCTCAACTTCTTCTCCGTCACTGGGCCATGGTGTGTCCGGATTTTGGAAAGAGAGAAAAGGAAAAAAAAAAAAGTCCATCCACCGTCTCAAACACGTCTGTACTTCGCTTGCAAGTGGACAAAAAGCTCCTGTGAGGTTTTCGTTTTTGGCATGTCTTCTTCTCTCTAGAGACATAGTCCCTCTAAATGAGGAGGTGATTTGGACCTCTGCAGGCCGAGGCAGCTCCGCACTTTGCCGAGGCCTAAACAAACCCAAACAGGAAGTGCACGATCAACGAATGCCAACCGTCCACACAGCAGGAGCAGAAACGCAGAAAGCCGTGCACCAGGAAGAAGGTTGACGTTAAGGAATCTGCCCTCACGTATACACTCCACATTGGTCCTACCTGACATGACAAACACACAAACCCACACAAACACACACACACACAGACACACACACACAGACGGACATACAACCGTGGCACAAAAACACACACATACCCAGGGTGCCCCTGAAGCTGCGGAAGGGCTTCTGAGGCTGCCAGGAAGCCCCTCTGGGAAGAGAGCAGCCCACGGTCATACAGGCAGGCCAGCCCTCAAAGTCACAGTGGGACAATCTCAGGGGAGACTCACCTGCACATCATCTAGGCAGGACTGAGACAGGGATCCCGCAGTGCATCACTGGGGCTCCGACTGACGTTTGTTCATCCTGATCGGCCCTCTGTGGCTCCTAAGATCCCGGGACCTCCCTGGCGACACCCTGGAAAAAACAGGCCAGAGCAACACGACACCAAGGCACTGCCACGGAGGGCTACTGCTCCGCCCAGCCTCAGGAACTAACCTGCAGGCAACGGTGGCGGGCGCTGTGATGCGAGCACCAGGCTGGCGAGCAGGTGGAGTGAGTGTGTGTCTCCAAGGACTCTTGGAATGGAGCCATTCCAAGACGGAAGGCCCCCTCACCAAAAAAGTGAAGGAAAGGCCCAGCAAACCTGGGAACCCCAAGAGGGCCACACTGGGGTCCAAGCCACCCTCAGGGATGCCTGCCACAAGAAAGACCCAAGACGTTTCTGTGACATGCCAGCCACTCCCACCCCTATGCTGGCGACGGCACACACACCCTCAGCTGAAGCAGGCCGACCCTCCGTCCACTTGGCTCAGTGAAACCCGTGGCGGTCAGAAGATTCAGTGCTGGGAGGCAGTCCCGCCTGGGAGCAGAGGGGCTGGATATCCCTCAAGAGGGGTGAAGGCCCTGTAGATGCCAGGAAACACCACCTTTCTTGGAAGGCAAAGGCCAGCCACGCTTGGCTACCGCTCATCCTATAGGAGTTATGCTGCCGTCTGCTTGAGCCCTGGAGACCAAGGGAATTTCCGTGACAGGGGGTGACAGGTATGGAAACCCAGAGCTCCAGGATCCTCCCACTTGCCCAACCACGCAGAGAGAGGTTTGGAGAAGGAAACAAAGGATCCCAGATGAACGGGGAAATGTGGCTGGTTGAAGACCCTGAGCCAGACCAAGAAAAATCAAGGCCCAGCAGGAACACGGAAGACAGAAAAGCAGCGAGGGCAGTGTAGAGGCCTGAGCCCAGGCAGGATGCAGCAAGGCTGCCGCCATGTGGAGCTGGGAATGTGCCCAACCAGCAGCTTAGCCAGAAAGGCCACGGTTGGAGGAAAAGAGATCCTTGCCGGGTTCTCGGCTTCTTCTCCATCGTCGGGCCACGGCGTGGCTAGATTTTGCAAGTAGAGGAAAAGGGGAACAGGAGTTCCATCCACCACCTTGGACATCTGTCTGAACCTTTCTTGAAGGTGGACAAGCAGCCCCTGTGAGGTTTCGGTTCTTGCGTGTGTCGTATTCTCTCTAGAGAAGTGACCCTTGGGATGGGGAGGTGATTTGGACCTTCACCCAACCAGGACAGCTCCCCACTTCGCCACAGCCTAAGGGAAAAAAAAATTTTTTTTTTGAGACAGAGTCTCACTCTGTCGCCAGGCTGGGGTGCAGTGGCGTGATCTTGGCTCACTGCAAGCTCTGCCTCCTGGGTTCAAGTGATTCTCGTGCCTCAGCCTCCTGAGTAGCTGGGATTACAGGCATGCACGACCACGCCAGCTAATTTTTGTATTTTTAGTAGAGACGGGGTTTCACCATATTGGCCAGGATGGTCTCAATCTCCTGACCTTGTGATCTGCCCGCCTCAATCTCCCAAAGTGCTGGGATTACAGGCATGAGCCACCGCGCCCGGCTGGCCTAAAGAAATTTTAATAGGGGAAGCGCACGATAAACAAATGTTAACCGGCCACACAGCACGAGTGGAAATGCAGGGAGCAGAGCACCAGAAAGAAGGTTGACTTGAAAGAATCCGTCCTTGAGTATACAAGACACATTGGTCCTGCCAAACACTCCCCCACCCCCCGCACACACACACACACACACAGAAACACACACACCCATGGACATACAACCATGGCATAGGAACACACACATACCCAGGCTGCCCCTGAGGCTGTGGAGTCCTGCTGCCACGAGTAAGTTCCTCTGGGAAGAAAGCAGCTCACGGCCACACAGGCAGGCTGGCCCTCAAGGTCATAGCGGGGAAAATCTCTGGGATACTCATTCACATACTGTCTAGGCAGGCCTGAGGCAGGGATCCCACGGCGCCGCCCCAGGGCTTTGCCTGACCTCAGGGATTTAGGGTGTCTTTCCTCTACCAGCTCCCAATCTCCCTTTAGGTGGTGAGGACTGGCAGGGCGGTTTGTGGGGGGCAGAGCAGAAGGAAGAAGTATATTAGCGGTTGTGACTCCCTGGGGAGGCGAGGTCTCATGTGAGCTTATACTGAGTAGATTCTGACTAAGGACGTCCCTGAAGTTATTTTCTTTCCTGAGATGCCACAAAAAGTCATCACCATTCTGTAAAATTCCCAGGCAGAGGGTGTGATCGTCACATTAATCAAAAAGCAGGCAGCTCTACCACCTCATACTCATCAGGATGGTCACTGTCAAAAACCCAGCGTTGGCAAGGATTGGCGTTGGCGAGGATGTGGAGAAAGTGGAACCCTTCGGACCTGTGGGTGGGAAGGTAAAGCTGTGTGGCCGCGCGGAAATCTGTAGAGTGGCTCCTCCAAAAATTAAATTAAACAGAATCACCACATTATCCAGCAATCCCTCTTCTGGGTATATCTCCAAAGGAAGTGAAAGCAGGGTCTCAAGGAGTTATTTGTACACCCATGTTCACAGAAGTGTTATTCACATTAGGCAGAAGGTGGAAACATCCCAAGTGTCCACGGATCCACGGACAGATGAATGGATAAGGATCCGCGGACAGATGAACGGATAAGGATCCACAGACAGATGAACGGATAAGGATCCACAGACAGATGAACGGATAAGGATCCACGGACAGATGAATGGATAAGGATCCACGGACAGATGAATGGATAAGGATCCGCGGACAGATGAATGGATAAGGATCCGCGGACAGATGAATGGATAAGGATCCACAGACAGATGAACGGATAAGGATCCGTGGACAGATGAACAGATAAGGATCCGCGGACAGATGAACGGATAAGCAGATGTGATGGGTACGTATGATGAAACGTGACTCACCTTAACAGGGAGGGAAACCCTGGCACACGCTACAACATGGATGAGCCTGGGGGACATCATGCTCAGTGTAGTAATCCTGAGATAAAAAGGATAAATGTTGTGTGAGGTTCCCAGTGGTCAAATTCACAAAGACAGCAACTGGAATGGGGGTTTCCAGGGGCTGGGGGAGAGAAGATGGGGAGTTAGTGTGTACTGGGGCCAGAGTTTCCATCTGGGAAGAGGAAAAAGTCCTGGAGATGGATGGTGGCGATGGTTGCATAGCAATGTGAGTGTACTTAATGCCATTGAAGTGCACACTTAAAAATGGTTAAGAGGGTCAATTTTATGTTAGGTGTATCTTACCAGAACTAAAACAAAACAGAAGGCAGCTTTAAAAACAGTGGAAGACGAGTTCTTAAGGTGGTGGAGGCCATCGCCCACTTCACTTGGGGGACTCCTGCTCTCAGAACACACTTCACTTCACGGGGTCACCTGGTGTTCATGCCGGCAACCTTTCTCTCCCTCCCTGTGGCCTGGCCCCTTGCTGAGCATTCACCAGGTGGGAAGAGTCTGTGCAGCGCGGTGTGGGCCTTGCACACTCCTTTTTGTGTTTGGGCTCTACTTTTCTGGACTGTGACACTTATAACTTCATTAGAAAATATCACTTTCTTCAGACCCACACATTCATTTATTAGGCACTTATGTTCCATAAAATAAAATGCACAAGGCCACTTTCATGCTTCCTTGAAGTTCTATCAACTTATTTGGGGGCAGATTTGACCTGTAATGTTCAGAGCACTTCCTCCCTGGGAGCTCCATATCTAAGTATGGGCATATAGAGTTTTCTGTGTTACTGAAGGTAGCTTTCATAAAGTTGCTCGAAGTACTTCCCAAAAATCCATCTTAAGAATATTTCTGCACTTTGGGAGGCCGAGGCGGGTGGATCAGCTGAGGTCAGGATTTTGAGACCAGCCTGGCCAACATGGTGAGACCCGGTCTCTACTAAAAAATGCAAAAAAATAACAAGGCATGGTGGCGGGTGCCTGTAATCCCAGCTCCCTACTCCAGAGGCTGAGGCAGGAGAATCACTTGAACCCGGGAGGCAGAGGTTGCAGTGAGCCAAGGTCGTGCCATTGCACTCCAGCCTGGGTAACAAGAGCAAAACTCTGTCTCAAAAAAAAAAAAAGAAAAACAAACCAGAATCTTTCCCACACATGATGTGGCAGGACAGGAAACACCAGGATTCCTCCAGTTAATGGGGAGACTGGGAGAGCTGAGGCTTCACAGTGACACAGCCGGGTGTGGAAAACACCAAAAGAAATACGCCTTTTTGGACGACAGTACTCCACCCCAATTTCCAAGTATGCTACAACTTTTCCTCAGCCTCGACGGGAGATATTTACAGTGAGTGGTTGAAGCGTTAGTGAAATGCCCCGGTAGACACAGGCTCCACCAGGCTGGGCTTCTGTGCTCTCACTGGGTCTATGGATGAGCACAGAAGCCAGGTTTCTGGCTCACAGAGAACCTAAGTGCTGAGTTTATATACAAAGTGCACAGTCTGAATAATTAAATATGAAGACGTGTACACACTAAACAGGACATTTTTACTTAAGGCCAAAGAAGCACAAACGACCCTTTCTTTTGGGAGTTTCACAAGAATTTCCGCTCAACAGTAATCCCCCAGTAACTGTGATAGTAATGGTTTAAATATTTTGTTTATAAAAAGCAACATTATAAAATGCCCTGGAAGGTCTTGGCTTCTTTTGCGAGCTCTGAACTATTCAGAAATTCAGCTTGCTATCTGGGGACAATAAATAAATCCATATTCTAAAAAAAATGAGATTCGGATTTTTCTCCAGTGCTTCTTCCTGGCCTTAAGGCTTCCCGGGGAATTCTCGTCCTTGCTCGGTTACGGTTTCAAGGGGGTGAACGGAGAGGCTGCGCGGTGAAGAACCCCGGCTGGCACCCGGCCTGCGCTCTCTCGGGCCCGGCCGCACCGGCCACCAGGGGGCAGTGTTGCCATTCGCTGGCCGCGCCGCCCCGCCCCGAGCGGATGCCGTCCCGTTTCCAGCCGCCGGTGCTCACCGTACGCGCTGTTGTTATTATTTTTTGATTTACAAAGCGCCATTCCTCCGCGGATTCCCCGCCCCCAGCTGCTTCCGAGAAAGCTCGCAGAAGCATTCGTGTGCAGGAGCGGAAGCCCCGCACAGCACGCGGCGGGCCGGTGGGCGCACGGCCGGGGGCGTCGGGAAGAGGCTGCGGGCAGCGGGCCCCGCGGGCGCGGCGTGCGGGGCGGGAAGACCGCGCTGCCCCGTGGGGCGCGGGCACGAACGCGTTCCCATAAAGCACACGGGGAAGACCAGCACGGGGCGTGAGCCATGCAAACGTTCTTCCCGTGCGACACCCGCTGGGCCGGCCCTGCGGCCGGGATTGTCCGGGAAGCGATCGGAGGAACCCGGGAGCCCGCCGGGGCCTGGCCCCAGAGTCCGGGCGCCGCTGAGCGGGGCGGAGGTGACAAATGGAACCTTTTTAAGGACAGTTGAAAGAGAACATAAATACGGGGTGCTGGGACCTTGGAAAGGGCGCGAGTCATTAATGGGGGCAAATCAGAGGGCAGTATGTTGACGGGATAATAACAAAAATAAAGAGGCTTGATTTAAAAAAGACGGCATTTGGAGTCAACGGGAAAATCCGGGACAATGAGGGTTGACAGGTTCCTGGGACACAAACCAGGAAAAACGGCCACACTGGAGCGGCCTGCCTGGCTCCAGCACAGCCGGTGCAGAAGCTAATTTTGTTCCAAGTCCTCCTAGCTCAACAAACATGCCGCCATAGCACTTATTTTCTTTTAGACAATCCTCACAACAGTCTAGCAAAGTGGGGATCATCTTCACCACTGTACACATGGAGAAATTGAAGGTCAGACATTCAAGGTTATGTGGCCACATGAGAGCAATACCAGAGCGGGGACGAAGACCCACGGCTCTCAGCCACCAGGTTCCTTCTTGAGAGAAGCCGAATGGTGAGAGAAGCCGGATGGATGTACATGCAGGGAGGGGAGCCTCAAAGCAGGTCCACCTTTCTCCCATGAGTGTTCTAGTGGCTCAGGGTTAGGGTTAGGGTCCAGAGGAGGAGAGGTATCCAGAGCTAGGGCCGTCTGCGTTTTGCCTTGCTGTCCCAGAGTGGCAGCGAGGAGTGGCCTGGCCTAGAGGGTGTTTGTCTTACCTTGTGCCTTGCTGTTGCTCCTCTGTCTGTAGGAGCTAAGGGAAGTTGGAGAAGCCGCAGCCCAGAAGGTCAGGGAGGACAGCATGTCAGAGCTTGCTGGAGCAAGCCTTGGAGGAAGGCCACAGGGGACATGGTCACCAAGGGTCACGGCAGCATGCACCCTGGGTTAGAGAAAAGGGCAAATTATGGATATGAAAAATGCTTCCCTCAATGAAAAGGACCCTGCTGAGACAGGATGGCTGTGGGCCAAATACCCCTACAGTGCCTGATTCTTTTATCTTATTATTATTTATTTAAACAAGACCAGCATTTCGCTTTAGATAGAAAATCTCTCTCTGCTACAAAATTGCAAGCCCTGGGAAAAGTCGCCAAGAATGGTTGATGCCACAATAAAACAATAACATACATGTCGGGGTGAAACAGTGCATAGAGGATGGAAAGAAGGAAAAGCTCGAGGCCCTGGAGGAAGGAGCTGGGAAGGTGGAGGGTGTGGAGGTGTGGGGGCCCAGAGGGATTGCCCAGGAAGGTATGGAGGACCGAAAACGGATCACCAGCCCTCATGGACAACTTAAACTAAAGGTGGAAAAGACAGAAAAGCCGGCAGGGGGAATTGTCTCCAGTCAACCAGTCAACTTTTGGAAAAAGATGGATCACAAAGAATGAGAGGTGGAGGAGAAGTAGAGGAGAAACCAAGAACAAAGAGCAGACACTGTGGGCAAAGCTGTGGGTGCCCATTCATGGCAGAGCTGGGTTCTAGGGCCCTGGTTTTGGCTGTGTAACCGCTTGCCCAGCCCTCATCTCATCCCTCAACAATGAGGGCCTGGCAAGGGAGGGTATGCTGGCCTATTTTTGTCTCATGTATTTGTGGACTCCATCCAAAAGCTCTGAGATGCCAAGTTAAAATGGAGAAGGTTTGAGTCACCGCCACCTGGCCAGAGCCTCAGTGAGTGGGACGCCAGGTCTGGGGTGGGGTTGCATGGGTGGGGGGCTGCACCGTTGCTGTTGATTCACACGGCTTCTCTGGGGTCTGGATCTCAGTTTGGCTGTGATGCTAAGCCCCGAATGGGTGGATAGCAACATTATTCTGGAGTACTAACAGCCTACCCTTGCCACCCACGTCTCAGAGACATTAGAAAGTTGGGTACAACATTCCCCACCTCCCTCTGATTTTCCTGGAGTAGACTGTGATGAGGAGATGGTCAGTCTCCAATAAAGTCAGCACCTTCCATGAAAAATGACTTTCCCTGAAAGTTGTTTTGGAGTGTTAAAGAAAAATATCTTCAAAATTCTTTACCACTTTTTGAGCCTGATTCCAGATGTTTGGCATATCCTAAATTATCCACTTTAAGCTTCGATAATCCTAGGAGATAGATACTATTATTCCCATTCTGCAGACGCAGAAACTGAGGCCCTCGGTAATGCTGGGACTGCTCATGGTCACAGCTGGTGGTGGTGGAATTGGGATTTGAAGTCATATCTCTGACTCAGAACTTGGGTACTTCTTTCGTATTTCCTTTTCCTCCCTTATTCAAAGTAGCTTAAGTGCTTTTGTAAAATAAGCATGAACATCACCCCAAATGCCACCATCCAGGGATAACCGGGAACACTTTAATGAATATCCTTCAAGACCTCTCTCTCTTGCATTAACTTGAAGACAAACTTGTCAATACCCAGATTATTCCTTCTTGAAAGTCGGTCCTATGCGTTTAATTGAATTGAAGTTGGTGGCTTTTCCTGGTTTTGACATTTGCCTGAATTGGCCTCGGCATTCTGTAAAGGAAGGCGCCTTCTGGGCTGTAGTTCTCTCTTTCCCACTCCCCTTGGTGTCTGCTCCTCACCTCAGTCAGGTAAGGCCTTGGTCCTCCTTTCCATGCCCCCTGGAAGGACCCAACTAGCTCTTCAAAAGCTGCTCTTGGAATTTCGGGACAGCTAAGGGATCGGCTGCCAGGACCGGGCTGTTGCACCATTGACGTGTGGGGGCCAGTGTTCCGTGGAAGGTGCCTAGAGATGGGCCGCCTCCTCCATCTTCCCCAGGCCTCCTTCACCTGTGGGCAGGAGACGTTTGTGACGTTCCTTCTGGTCAGCAGGACTACAGGAAGAGCCACCGCTGAGCCTGGGGGCAGGACTAGCCAGGCTCCCTGCTGAGGCCTTCTCATGCTCCTGACAAGGCCCAGGGTAAGCTCACTCGCCCGTTTCCCACCTGCAGAAATGGGTTCGTAAGTTCAAACACGCACAGCTGCTGGTGGGTGTCAGGATTTGGGATCTGGGCTCAGAGCCTGCATTCACATCACACCATTGCTACACTTCACTGCTTCCCTTGGCCACATCTCCATCACATCTGAAGGGTTTTGTGTTCAAGGAGTCTTTTAAAAATAACAGTTTTTGACCAGGAAGAATTAGGACTGAGCAAGACTTAGTCACAACAAACAGACAAGCGCACCCACACTCCACAGCCTGGGCTGTAGGGATGTGGCCTACCCCCTTCTTTTTGAAGTGTCTGTAAATAAATAAACCTGCGCCGAGCTGAGCTCAAAGTGGAGTGGTTTACCCACGTTTGACATCCAGGGCAACCTGCGAAAGCCGCTTTGTTTTTATTATTGTGCAAAAAGTGTTCTAATTACAATATGCTTTTCTGAGTCAGGAGAGAGCGGTGAACCATTTGGCTGTGGAGCGATATTTGTGAAATCCCACTGGAAGAGATTATAAACTGATTTTAATGCACTTTTACTAATGGTTTAATAATCCTAAGGAGAACTGACTGAGCCCTCATAATGAATGAAGAATTTTGATGGCAGGATCCATAAATGCTGATGTTAGAGAAGGTCAATGGATTAGTGAGTCAGAGGCTTCCAGGGGCTTGTATGAGTCAGGAAAAACAGGTCATGCTGTGGAAACAAACCCCAAGGTCTCAGTGACGTAAGAAAAGTTTACCTCTTGCTCATTAAGGGCCGGGTCAGGCAGCTCTCCAGGCCAACTCTCCTCGGGTGAGCGGGATCCTTGCCACTTCCATCTTGTAGCTGGGCCGTCTGGAGCCCCTGGCTTCTAGCATTGCTAAAGTGAGAGAGAGAGGGCGAGAGGACTGGCGGGAAGGTCTAAGACCATATTCTAATGTAGAAACTGGAATGTATACATTCTAATGTATACATTTATTCTACCCAAGAGGGACAAGGGCTGGCTAAGAGCTGCTGTGCAGGTCGGATCAAATCATCACACCTGTAAGTCGTGTCTTCATTTTCTCTCAAATACATGAACATATTTTTTGAGAATAGTTTCAGAATTTTGGAAGCCAAACTGGAGCTTGTGATGGTAAGGACTTGTCATTGGATTTAGGGTCCACTCTAATCCAAGATGATCTCATCTCCAATCCCCAACTTAATTACATCTGCGAAGACTCCAAATATCGTCACATTCACAAGTTATGGGTGGATGTATTTTTTTTGGGGTGGATACTATTCAACCCGCTACAACTACCGTCTAGAAAGGACAGATGTTAGCATCCTATCCTAGGTGACCCACATATTTTTCATAACAAAATTCAACATTCGAGGGAGGATGAGAAGTATATTTTGAGGACTTGGCTCATGCCATTGTGGGGCTGGCAAGTTTCCACGGTGCAGGTTGAGCTGGCAGGCTGGGGACCTAGGGAAGTTGTGTTTGGGTCTAAAGACCATCTGCTGGGAACATTCCCTCTGCCTCAAGGGAGGTCAGTCTTTTCCTTAAGCCCTTCAAATGGTGGGATGAGGCCCACTCACATCATGGAGGATACTCTGCTTTGCTGAAAGTCTCCTGAAGTAAATTAATCCATGAAAAAACACCTGCACAGAAACACATAGAACAGCGTTTGACCAGATATCTGGGTACCATGGCCTAGCCAAATGGACACCTAAAATTAACCATCACACGACACAACATTTAAACCATGCCCTCGTACAAGTTTCCTTCCTCTAAGGGTGTGTTTTTCAGACCACGGGTCATGAACATGAATGGATCACAAAATAAATGTAGTGGGTCCTGACCGGCATTTTATAACTTGTCAAATGGACTCGATCCTGTAGATAACAATTATGACTGCTTCAGTACACAAGTAATATGAGAGTACACAGTCTTTGGGAAACACGCAAAACCATACTGAGGGACAAACCACACAAGCTGATATTGTCAGACTGTTAAAATGTGGCCATTGTGGCGGGGCGCGGTGGCTCACGCCTGTAATCCCAGCAATTTGGGAGGCCGAGGCGGGCAGATCACCTGAGGTCAGGAGCTCAAGACTAGCCTGGCCAACGTGGTGAACCCTGTCTCTACTAAAAATACAAAAATTAGCCAGGTGTGGTGGTGCACGCCTGTAATCCCAGCTACTCGAGAGGCTAAGGCAGGAGAATTGCTTGAACCCAAGAGGCAGAGGTTGCCTATGATTTGAGATCATGCCATTGCACTCCAGCCTGGGCAACAGAGTCAGTGAGACTCCGTCTCAAAAAAATAAAATTAAAAAAAGGAGTGTGGTCATCTGAAGGGTTAAAAGGGCACCCCAATTTCTCAATTTGTGTTTTCTTGATTAGGAAGAGCTTGTGTGTTTCTTTGATTATTATTGATTAATTGGGTTTCTGCTGAGCATCACATTCTTTAAAGATCAAGCTGGAGTCAAGTCCCTTTTCCAGACCCCCGAGACAACATCTGTCCCCTGCCCTTAGGGGCAGCTCTTGGACTGTTGGGCTGGGCTCCTCCCTGCAGCCCCAACTCCTTACCACGGCCATTCACGTTCACATTGAGCGTCTAACCTCAGTAAGCAATAGTCCTCTAGCTTCACAAATCAACTTCTAGGGACTCTTCCTGCCCACAAACATTTCATAAATCTCACTGCACCTCTGTGACCTACTGACAGTGCTAGGGTGCCCGCTTTCCTCTCCTTTCCCTGGCTCCCATCTCGTCCTCCTACTACTCCCTGGATCGCTCACTTCGGCAGCTCATGAGGTTTCTCACCCTCAGGACTTCGGACATCGGGGCCAAACACTTCTTTGTTATGGGTGCAGTCCTATGTGGATATTAAACAGCATCCCTGGCCTCTACCAAGAGGAGATGCCAAGAGCACCTCCTCCCCAGCATTGATAATCAAAATGTCTCCAGACATTGCCAAATGTCCCCTGGGCAGACAAAGTCACTCTCGGTTG